CGAACTGTGTGCTCAGACCCCAGCTATCTACCGAACGTCCATTCGTTTAAATAGACCAAGTACAAGAAAAGTTATGTATTTTAAAGTGAATCGCCGGTTCTGCTGCACGGAATGATAATCCACTTAACGGTATATTCCAGTGGGAGTATCCCTCTCGTGCAGCAGTGCCTGATGGGAGAAATGCCCAGAATGTTAAGTCCCCCATGTAGTCCCCTACTGTATTACCCCTGCAATGACAGTAGGGAAACCCCTTGCATGGGGACTTGCATAAATACTGGAGCTGCAAATAAAGACCTCAGTTGACTCCCAGAACTGTGTTTCGTCCGGCTACTGGGGGATTTGGGATATTGCCTTGCTTTTCAGCGCTGACTGTGGATTACTGTATGTACCAGCGGAATTCGTGGGATTTAATATTGCCGGTCCGCTACAGATATATCCCCAGGTATACCATTACCAGGAGTTTACTTAATTGCAAGGCCAAATTACAGACCATTTTTGTTTTGGAACATGAATTTACCAGATTGATTTGCTGGGTCTTTGTCTAATATTGGAGCAAAATAGCAGCTCTCAAATGACACTTAGTCCTTAATGCATATAATTTAAAAAAAATAGATGCCCCATGGTAAGTTATGTTTTATGAACCTTACTGTGTCTTTGTTCACAAATCAGTGGTATTTTCCTACCTTTTTCACCTGTAGTTTTTTTTTCCATATATGCATTTTGCATAGTTTTCATATATTGTATATTTTTTTTGTACACCCATAGGCATTTTGTAACTACGTAGGCATCCTCTAACCCTAAATCTACACTAACTCTAAACACTATCTATCCAAAGCAAACTGTTATTAACTCAACACCTTAACTTAAGCTAAACCTAACACCCCTCCGCGGAAACAATGCGTGACCCTAGATAGAGAATGCATCGGAACGTCACTGGAGACGAGAGTGTGGGAGGGCGCCGGCGGGACACTGGACCAGGGTGTCAGTGCAGTAATGGTCCTGCAGACAATACAGACACTTCGCAGCTGGAGATCACTAAGAGAGGAGCCCCACATCTCACCCATGCCCTGATATCGGTGACCCATAACGGCAAAACAGGAGGAGGGCTGATTTCCAAGGCCTGGACGATCCTAGGTAACGGGGAATACATTACTATACGTAGAACCTTATGATATGGGGGATTACGAGACCTTACCTCATTACTGGAGGGTAGACCTTACCTCATTACTGGAGGGTAGACCTCACCTCATTACTGGAGGGTAGACCTCGGATCCCCTCTAAACCTCCTCAGATATATGCAACTGAAAAACTACTATAATGCGCTGCCACACAAAGAACGTCTGCACAGAGAGCTCACCTGGTTCAAAGATCTCTGTGAATGAGGTGCCCCGCTAGAACACACAATCTCCGCACTATACCAGTATCTAGTATTAGGCGATCAGACGACTAACAACACCTTCCGAAGGCAATGGGAGCAGCTAACGGGTAAGACATTCACAACACCGCAATGGGACAAAGCACTGCTGTGGCAACACAAATGCTCCATGAGCTCCTATTACCAGGAGATGAATTATAAACTGATCTCCTTCTGGTACAGAACGCCGACCTTGTTATATATATGTATATATGCAGGTGATATTCGAAAAATTCGAATATCGTACGAAAGTTCATTTATTTTAGTAATGCAACGTAAAAGGGGAAACTAATGTATGAGAGAGACGCATTACATGCAAAGCAAGATCGTTCAAGCCGTGATTTGCTCATGAAAACCCCAAATCCACAATCTCAGTAAATTAGAATATTGTGAAAAGGTGCAATATTCTATGCTCACAGTGTCCCACTCTAATCAGCTAAGTAAGTCATAACACCTGCAAAGGGTTTCTGAGCCTTTAAATGGTCTCTCAGTCTGCTTCAGTAGGAATCACAATCATGGGGAAGACTGCTGACCTGACAGTTGTGCAGAAAACAATCATTGACACCCTCTATAAGGAAAGCCTCAAAAGGTAATTGCGAAGGAAGTTGGATGTTCCCAAAGTGCTGTATCAAAGCACAGTAATAGAATGTTATGTGGAAGAAAAAGGTGCACAAGCATCAGGGATGACCACAGCCTGAAGAGGATTGTCAGGAAAAGGCCATTCAAAAGTGTTGGGGACTTTCACAAGGGGTAGACTAAGGCTGGAGTCAGTGCATCAAGAGCCACCACACACAGACAGATCCTGGACATGGGCTTCAGATGTCGTATTCCTCTTGTCAAGCCGCTCCTGAACAACAAACAACGTCAGAAGCGTCTTACCTGTGCTAGAGAAAAACAGACCTGGTCTGTTGGTCAGTGGTCCAAATTCCTCTTTTCTGATGAGAGCAACTTTTGCATCTCATTTGGAAACCAAGGACGCAGAGTCTGGAGAAAGAATGGAGATGCTTGAAGTCCAGTGTGAAGTTTCCACAGTCTGTGTTGATTTGGGGAGCCATGTCATCTAATGGTGTTGGTCCACTGTGCTTCATTAAGTCCAGGGTCAACGCAGCTGTCTACCAGGAGATTGTGGAGCACTTCATGCTTCCTTCCGCAGACTAGCTTTATGGGGATGCTCACTTAATTTTCCAGCAGGACTTGGCACCTGCCCACACTGCCAAAAGCACCAAAGCCTGGTTCAACGATCATGGGATTACTGTGCTTGATTGGCCAGCAAACTCGCCTGATCTGAACCCCATAGAGAATCTATGGGGAATTGCCAAGAGAAAGATGAGACATGAGACCGAACAATGCAGAAGAGCTGGAGGCCGCTATTGAAGCATCCTGGTCTTCCATAACACCTCAGCAGTACCACAGGCTGATAGCTTCCATGCCACGCCGCATTGAGGCAGTAATTGCGGCAAAAGAGGCCCAAACCAAGTACTGAGTCCATATGCATGCTTATACTTTTCAGATGTCCGATATTGTTCTGTGTACACTCCTTGTTTTATTGATTGCATGTAATATTCTAATTTACTGAGATTGTGGATTTGGGGTTTTCATGAGCTGTAAGCCATAATCATCGCACTTATGACAAAACACGGCTTGAACTATCTTGCTTTGCATGTAATGGGTCTATCTCATGTATTAGTTTCCCCTTTTACGTTGCATTACTGAAATAAATGAACTTTTTTTGCACAATATTCTAATTTTTCGAGTATCACGTGTACCTTTTAAGTTTTTGTAATGCTCCTTATCTAATGATGGGGTCATTGTCTGGTTTGCCATCTTTTATGTAAATAGAAGTTAATATGTGCAAGGCAAAACTTATTCTCTTGTCGTCATTGTAACTAAGACCTGCGAGTCTCACACTGTACCTTTGTTCTGATATCTGACTTGATACAAAAATCTTAATAAAAACAGGTTTACAAAAAAAAAAAAAAAGCTAACCCTAACACTACCCCAATGCTTACCCTAACTTTCTGACAGGCAAAGGGGTTCTCCCATCTGATGTCACTCCTGACAGCTTTGGGATTTCCCAAGTATGCAGTGTGTACAGCTCTGTGCACTGTTATTATGGTAGAATGAAATGGTAATATCTTAATTCAGTGCTTTTTAGACCCCAGTAGTTTCCCTGACATGGGAAGGGAATACTGTAACTGAACTGGAGCTGGGATAAGTTACATTTCAATAATTCTCATAGCTTTGAACCTGGCAAAAGCTTATCCTTCAGCTTGCAGCCACTAAATTGGCCCCAATTGACAAAGGAGGGCAGACACCTGGTGCCGATAGGTACTTTTTATAGCCCTGCTTGTACTTTAAATTATAAGTGTCTTGGAGATCCAAACCCCCCTCCACCTCCTCCCACCACCCCCCCCCCCTCCTTTTTTTTTGTCACGGCCTCCAGTTGTACCAAGGGGAAAATGCAGTTTTTGTTGTGTATTTTTATTGTAAATGCTTTTGAAATGTATAATTTAGTGTGACTTCTACGAGAAGTCTTCATAGGTGCTCTGATTCTCTTCTTTATGAACTCCTTGTATCAATCTCTCTTAACCAATATGTTCCTTATTACCTGTTTCGCTGAACAAAATAACATTTTCTAGGCATGATCTAAAGTGTGGGGGAAAAAATGAAGAGCAATATTAAAACGGAACCCTTTGGGATGATAAGCAAAAGTTATATTAAAATCGATACTTGGGGCCTAGCCTTTTGTGGTTTTGTACACAAAAAGGTTTCTTCTTTTTATTGATCTTTGTTTTAATAACATGTTTATTCTAGTTTCCTTGTCTGAGCCTTGAGAGAATAAACAGAAAAGGTGAAATTCTTTATTATTGCATCCATTTAGGCTTAGCTACCTTCTTCCCTGTTTTTAGTTGATATGTTGCTTTAGTTTCGCTACTGTGTGTGTAGCAGAATATTAGACACCGAATAACTGTAAAAAGTAATCATTGTTAAACTTAATTTTGCAGATTTGAAAAGTAACCTTATTTGCTTGATTTTTATTAACAAATTTTATTTAGATATTCGTTTCTTGCTCTCTATTCTTTAACAAATTTTATATACGTGTTTATGTAATTTGCTCTTCTTTAGCGGGGTAATCCATACCATACATTTTAAAGAAAGGGTAAACGCCTTGAGTTTAAAAATAGAAATTGTTCTAATAACAGACACTAACTAGGTGCAATCCGGAGGGGTGTATGTTTTGTCTTAACGTGGGTTTCCTGTAAACAGACAATGTCTGCTACTAATTTGCATAAGACTCTAAGTAGAGAATACACAGAAAAATAGGGGACAATCTGCTAAATACAAATAAAAAACATAGCATATAACTGTGTGGAGACTGGTATTGATGTGTGATCACAAATGGTCACTCACAATTTTGAAGATTTAAGATAGCCTTGAATGATGTCTTTATGGGATTAGAATGCTTTAAATGGTGGGTTGTCTCTCCTCACATATTCATCAGCGAAATCATATGTGTGTCAAAAAAGAGAAAATGTACAAAATGTAACTTCCAGAGTATGTTAAAAAATATATTTAATAACTTCACATTTAGGTATACAAACAGCATGTCACCATACACGCTACGCGTTTCGTCCGACTTTCAGGGATGATAAAGTGCAATCAAAAATAGCACTGCTATTTTTGATTGCACTTTATCACACCAAGTCCCTGAGGAATTCCAATTTTAGGACGAAACGCGTAGGACGTGTATGGTGACATGCTGTTTGTTTTATACCTAAATGTAAGTTATTAAATATATTTTTTAACATACTCTGGAAGTGCACTACATTTTTGTACATTTTCTCTTTTTTGAGACACACATATGTATTTCGCTGATGAATATGTGAGGAGAGACAACATACTGGATATTGAATAACACCATTTAAAGCTGCTCTAATCCCATAAAGACATCATTCAAGGCTATCTTAAATCTTCAAAATTGTGAGTGACCATTTGTGATCACACATCAATACCAGTCTCCACACAGTTATATGCTATGTTTTTTATTTGTATTTAGCAGATTGTCCCCTATTTTTCTGTGTATATCTATTGAAGACAAGAGGAAGTCTTCGGGGATTCATCCGGATACTTCACCTTAAGATAAGGGAAGTTTTGGTTTGCTCCTATATTTTATTATTTTCATTGGGGTTGTGTTCACATATATTGTTGTTTTCTTTGTATATTCTAAGTAGAGAATGCCTTTTTATTAAGGTATTTAGGCCCTGTACATTATTGGAATACATTTTCACTAATGATTATTGTTGTGAAGAACGCTAAACCACACTTCACAACATGTTTATACCTAGACCTCTTTTCCTGAGAGTTCCTGTGGGGCCCAATGGACAGGTTGTGTTAATTATTTTAAAGGTCTTTGTAAAAGTTAAAATTAGGTTTTTAGTCAGACTTAGTTGGGTTTTTTAGATCTCTGGATCCCCTTCTTTTCAACAGACAAAATTCTTGTGTCTCACCCAAACCTCAATTCTTCCACCCAATAATAGAAAGTCTGAAAGAGATTACAAACTGGGACTTCAAGGGAACGGTGGGAATATGCCATCTACATAACTAGAAAGAAAAAAAAATGAAAACACAAAGTGAAAATGGTAGAACTAAGTGCTTTACCAAGAGATGTTACATTGTACCCCAAAAATCAAGTGTAGAGATAAATAATTCCAGAACGGCTCTGGTTAGTAATCTAAAATAGGGCAGTTCTGTAGAAATTCAATCCGACGGTGCTTGTGTAAGACCATACAATAATGTTTGTGTATATAGTGGTGGTACCAGAGGAAACCTCAACGTCACTTTAACTGGCCATCTAGTATGGAACATTTGTTGTAGTTAAATCAATGTTGCTTACTCTCAATGAAGACCCTTTTATTTTACATTTTTATATACAATACATTTTAAGACGGTAACGTCTCTGTGGCTATGCGACCCTGTTGCTTACATCCTAATATTGTCAATGTGGTGGGGGAGTAATTTTTACATAATTAGGTATCTTAATTAATTACAATTAGCGGGACCTGCCTGACAACCCATGCCGAAAGTAAAGGGAATTTAATTTGCTAGCACTATATTTAACCCTATAACTTTCCAAGACACCATAAAACCTGTACATGGGGGGTACTGTTCTACTCGGGAGACTTCGCTGAACACAGATATTAGTGTTTCAAAACAGTAAAATGTATTACAACGATATCGCCAGTAAAAGTGAAGTTTTTTGCATTTTTCACACACAAACAGCACTTACACGGACGATATTATTGCTGTGATACTGTTTACTGTTTTGAAACACAAATATTTGTGTTCAGCGAAGTCTCCCGAGTACAACAGTACCCCTCATGTACAGGTTTTATGGTGTTTTCAAAAGTTACAGCGTCAAATATAAGGCTTGTGTTTCATTTTTTCACGTTAAAATTCGCCAGATTGGTTACGTTGCCTTTGAGACCCTATGGTAGCCCAAGAATGAAAATTACCCCTATGATGGTATACCATTTGCAATAGTAGACAACCCAAGGTATTGCAAACGGGGTATGTCCAGTCTTTTTTAGTTGCCACTTAGTCACAAACACTTGCCAAAATTGGCTTTTTTTTCATTTTTCACACACAAACAAATACTAACGCTAACTTTGGCCAGTATTTGTGACCAAATGGCTACTAAAAATGACTGGACATACCCCATTTGCAATACCTTGGGTTGTCTACTATTGCAAATGGTATGCCATTATGGGTTTAAATTTCATTCCTGGGCCACTATAAAGTCCCAAAGGCAATGTAACCAATCTGGCGAATTTCAATTTCAAATGTAACGTGCTATATTTGACCCTGTAACTTCCCAAAACGCCATAAAACCTGTACATAGAGGGTACTGTTTTACACGTGAGACTTTGCTGAATACACATATGCGTATTTTATTGCAGTAAAAGCAAACAGTATTATGACATTGACAGTTAAAATGTCATGTAGAACTAAAAACTAAAAAAAATCTAAAAAAACTTATTTACATTTTTTCATATTAAATTATGTTTCATAGCTAAATATTTGATATTAAATGAAAGCCCTGTTTCCCCTGAATAAAATGATATATAATAAGGCTGGGTGCATTTAATAAGAAAGAGGTGAATTACGGTTGGACAGACATGTAGCGCAAATGCCAGGTTTTGTTTACATTTTGTTTCGTTCACAACGTGTACATTTGGCTAGGGATCGACCGATTATCGGTTTTACCGATGTAATCGGCCGATAATCGGTATTTTCGGCAATATCGGTATCGGCCAATTCAGATACCGATATTGCCGATAATACCTCCTAGGACCGCCAGGCTCATTACAAGCCCGGCGGTCCTGGGGGGAGCGGGCATCAAGCGCTTACTCACCTCCCAGCAGCTCCTCTAGCTCCCCAGTGTAACTCTCGCGAGACCCGCGGCCGTCAGAGCTGGCAACGCTCCGCGCGACACGCTGGCTGTGAGAGTTGCACTGGGGAGCTGGAGGAGCTGCTGGGAGGTGAGTAAGCGCTTGATGCCCGCTCCCCCCAGAGCTCAGCCAATACCACTGGACCACCAGGGACTGTCATATCCCCCCTCCCTGGCCAGGCAACAAGCAGGGAGGGGGGACAACAAACAAAAAATAATTAAATCTAAAAAAATAATAATAATAATAATTTAATAAAAAAATGCCCCCTCACACACACACTCCATTATGTACACATACACCACACAAACACACTGTGTATATAATGCAGTGTGTGTGTAAAGTGTGTGTGTGTGTATACAATGCACACAAATACACACACTGCATTATATACACACACTATACAAACACACTGTATTATATACACACACACTGCATTATATACACACTATAGAAACACACACTGCATTATATACACACACTACACAAACACACTGTATATAATGCTGTGTGTGTTTGTGTAGTGTGTGTATATAATGCAGTGTGTGTTTTTGTAGTGTGTTTGTGTGTATATAATGCAGTGTGTTTGCATAGTTTGTGTATATAATGCAGTGTGTTTGTGTAGTGTGTTTATATAATGCACACTACACAAACACTGCATTATATACACACACTCTGCTTTATATAAAAACACTACATTCACTATACACACACTTTGCATTTAGTATATACAGCATTCACTTTATGCACACTACCCACACACTACACAAACACTCTGCTTTCATTATATACACACTACACTAATACACATTGCATCCACTACACACACTCGACAAATACACACTGCATCCACTACACAAACACACATTGCATCCTCAACACACACTACACAAACACACAATGCATCCACTACAAACACACACTGCATCCACTACACACACTACACAAACACAGACAGCTCCCCTGTCTAAACACACTGCATCCACTACATGTGGCATGTATATTTTGTGCATTTACCTTTAGAAATAGTTTTTATTTTCCAAAATGGTAAATGTACAGAATATCGGCAAATTATATCGGCTATCGGCCTGAAAGTTCACAGAATATCGGTATCGGTATCGGCTCTAAAAAATCAATATCGGTTGATCCCTACATTTGGCTCAGTCCATAAGGGGTTAAATAAAGTATATGATCATATATTGCGCATATCCTCAGAAACGAGAAAAAAGCCAATCATAACAAAATCCAAATAAATCTCCCCCAAAAATAAATAAAAATCAAGCAAACTGCTGAATAAGGGTTCCATTTAAAGATTAATCTAGGAGAGAAAATATAATCTGTATCTCTACTTGTAGCTATATTTATCTGTATCAGATGGAGCATTTCATTGTTGTTGTTGCATGATGGCAGCTCGATATATTAAGGGCATTCTAGCCACCATTACACCTACAGCTTATTTTAGAGTTTATGGTGTATAGAGTCTTAGTCTTAGTCTCCTTGGTGGTTGGAGCAATTTGAAAAATTGATATTGTTAATTTTGTGCTTTGAAAACATGAATTGACCTCTCTAGGTCAATTTTTATATTATAATACTGTGCTAGCAAGCAATGATTCAAGCTGTAGACCAGGGGTCCTCAAACTCCGGCCCCCCAGATGTTGCTGAGCTACAACTCCCATGATTCTCTGGCTATCTATGTTAATTCATTTGAGTTGTAGTTCAGCAACATCTGGGGGGCCGGAGTTTGAGGACCCCTGCTGTAGAATATAGAAATAAAGCAGTAAATGTATGTGCAATTAATGCTTAATTATCCAGCTCAAAAACTACGATCGGAGCTATGTGCATGTGGTCCACTTGAATCTTGCTTGTGAATTTTCTTATTTCCTGTGGTGAAGCAGAAGAAGACTGAACTTTTTAATTACAATATTGACTTTATTTGTGATTGTGCAAGTAATTGAATCCAGAGGGACTCTAATTCATTATAAGTTTCATAGTTTTTGTATTTTATTTTTAAAATTATTTTATTAATTACCTTAATTGCAATTATTTCAACTTTTTATAGTTACACTTCTTTGAGTCCTCGGAGTGTCAGGGTCTGATATCTTTTGGTAAATAACAGGTGCCATAATGAAGCTCAGCTGATTGGAAGCCATATAATTCATATTGTTAGTTTCATATAGCCTTCTTCACACTGTGATATGCTTTTGTTTGTCGCAGTTCAACCTTGAACAATTAAAACTACTGTTTTCTGACACTGAACTGGATTACCGATTTTTAAGAGGATTATTCACATTTTTTCATTTAGTTTTCCTTTCCAAATCATTAAGATATAAT